ATAACTGTATAACTGTTTAGATATGCTAAACCATATTGGCAACAAAATTTTTCTTTATAACATTGTTTTACGTTATTCTAGTTGTGTTTAGTTGTCATTTTTTCAATTACTTTTTGACGTAGTTCGATAGTCAAGTTGTCATGTGATTGAAATATCATTGACGTGTGACGTGTGACGTCTGACATCTGATTGGTTGTCAAGTCTACTAATTGATACACAGGGAATATCTAGGACCTGTTTAACATTGAATATTTAACATTTCAATAGCCACCATGTTGTTGTTAAATGAATTTGAATATAGAACGAATTTTATATGAGCTGCTAGCCGTTTGCGACGTGACAATTTTTTTTTGTTTGTTTTTTTATCTGTTATTTGTTCGGTTCTTGTCTTGTATGTATGTATTCACTGTGTTATTAAGAAATTTTTCATTCTTCTTTTTTCTTTTGTTTAGGGTTATCGGGTACTTATTAATGTGAATGTGGTAAAATGGACTACACACACTAGATTCACATATGGCTAGAACCAACCCTTCACAACGCTTTTTATAAAGAAATATACATACTTATTTAGTTTTTTTTCATAATTCATTGCTCATCATAGAACTCAAAGCTTTCTATCCATTTTTTAAACCTTCACATAAGTATGTTACCAAATAATGTTCGAGACATTTATATAAATTACATTCTATATGCAAACTTATCTGTGTACATAGCAGCTAGACAGTCCTCGTTAAACAGTCTTAAAAATCCCAAAATAAACTTTTATTGTACGCGCGATTACGCATTAATAACCAAAATGTTCTGTAGTACAGCAAATGTGTAGACTTAGCCATAATCAAAATGATAAAATAAATGAATCTATGTATTAAGATAGGAAGACATGAATAGTGCTTACAAATTTATTTACAGTTTTCAGATAAAATACGTAGGTTAAAAGATCTATCTTCAGAATCGCATTTAAATTGATTATTTTTAATAATAATATTTGGTAATATGTTATTTCCTACGGGTAATTGTTAAAAATCTTTTTTTAATGTCTATTTTAAAACAAATGTAGCACGCTTTTATTAAAAACTATGTTTTATATTTATTAATAAACTTTTTATTAATATGAGGTTTTCATACAGGCTCTAGCACATTGAGCTATCCTGAATTGTCAATTTATCCATTCGATTTTCGATTTTGTTATTTTGTGATAGAGTTGAAAATCACGGGATAAAGGTAAGAGTAGCTTGATGTGCCGGTGACTGAACTTTTCACACTGTACGGCTTATTAATAAGTATCAGTTAAAACTATAAGTATTTGAATACTTTCTGAAATATCATACATATCACCATTAGCGTAAATGGCACATTGTTACTATATGTACAGACAAGATGTAGATATACATACATATGTAGCTATACTTGCTTAGATATTTACAAAAAATACATTCACTAGTTGTCTTTCATCGTGGCTCGAATATTTACAATTTAAATAATGAGAGTTACAATTTTTTCGTGAAAATACATTTTAAATTTTGTAATTAAAACTGATAAGAATAATACTAACAATCGCCAAAAATAGTAATTTTTTTAAAGAATAATATTAACAATTGCAATATTTTGAAATAAATAGTTATCATAAACACAAATTGTAACTTATTATTTTAAATATATAATATCTGAATTGAATATTAAAATTGTAACTCTCATATAATTATATCTTATATTTTACTGTTATATCTAATACAACATTAAATATCATTATTAAGTTAAAGCGTTTTATTGAGCGCTAATTGCAAATAAAGTATCTAATATACGTTTATATAGCTTGAACGATTTAAAACTAAATTCTTTGGTTAAATTTTTTGGTATAAATATCGGTTTTCTTATTTAGAAATGTATCTTGTCTTTTTAGTTTATAAAGATGAAATTCAAATAGTAAAAAAATATAATATAAATGCTGGTTTGCGCTAAAAAAAAGAAACAAACTTATTTATAAATAAAAACCGTATCTGTTTTATCATTTATATTAAAATGTCTTTGATATATTTTAAGTGAACTTCTCGGCAAAATTTTAGTGCTGCTGTTAACATGGCCGTTAGGGACTCGAAAGCAGATATTCTATTCAGAGCAAAATTTTATTCGGCCTATTAAAAACTGTTAGCACTTAAAATTGAATGAAATTTTTATTTTTATTAACTTACATTTTTTATATCTGTTTGTCGTGGAATCATTTATAACTTAAATACAATTTTATTTCACTCGAACTTTTCCAATAAAAAAATATTACAATTTATATAATACGTGATAACAATATAGTAGAAATAATTTGAAATAGAATTTATAATTTCAATCATAATTATTTAACAATGTCGAACGTTCTAAATAAATGTTCCGTATAAATTCTAATTAATTATTATCAACTAAGAATAAAATATCGCTAAACTTTAACATAACAAAAATTGAATGTCAATTTTTTATTAAAAAACATATATTTTTTACATCTTAAAACTTATGGCGATAATATCTTTGGTATTTTCAACACATAATTTACATTTACATACTCATATTTAGCTTTTTCACATAAATATACTAAAAGATAACATAAAAAATTCAATTACGCTTAGATTATACACAATTTGCGCGAAAACAATGTTGTTTCCATTTCTGTTATAAAAGAGAATTGTTTTTTTTATATAGTATAAACAAAGTTGAGGAAAACATAATCTCAAAAGAAATTAATAATCTGACTTCACAAGTCACCAATTTTTTAATTCATAACATTTTATTTGTGTTTTAAAAAACTTCACCAAACCTATTAATTATACAAAATTCCCAACCAAAGTTGGAAGCATTAAAAATTCTTGCATAAAAACGACCGTGTGATAACTTCGAAAACTTACTAAAATGAAATTATTGCTTAAAACTTTTACTCGAATGCTTGCACGGTGAACTGAATGCCACATAACTAGAGTAATGAGACTCCCACCCATTCTGCGGACTGTTTTGCAAGTCGTAAAATAATAAGGCTGGGATACTAATGACTTTTAAATAAGTTGTGTAACTATTTTTCTTGAAACTCTTAAATTAAAACTGTTTTAAACTATGACGAAAGCAGTAGACAATCTTGATTTATATTTCTATAACCTTTGTATGCAAGCACATCAAGTTTCCCAACCAGTGAAATTGCTTTAATACATATTCAACTTTATCGTTCTGTTATAAAGTCAAAAATAGATTACAGTTCTTTGAGAATTTTGATGTGCGGCCTGCACATTATTATTGCCTTTCAATTTCAATACACTTTGTTACAAACGAAAATGAACTTAAACGTCCAAGCATACAACAACATTTTACAGTTATTATTCCATTACAACATTATCAGAACAATACACGTACACAGAAGTACTTTGATATGCATTTTGGAAACTTTTAATAAATAAACATACATATTACTAAGAATCACAGTAAGGACTAGCTTTAACAATATATTACTCAAAGTTTGGATGTACCAAAGATTATGAAAATAAACATAAACTTAGTTATAATTTAAATGCAGAACGCTAACCTTGGTATGGTATTCCAAAATTACTTACTTTTTTTTATGTGATTGGTCGGCAAACGAGCAGACGGATTACCTGATGGCCTGATGGTAAGCAATCAGCGCCACCCATGGACACCCGCAACGGAGGAGTTACGAGTGCGTTGCCAACCTTTTAGGGATTAGGGATTTGGAGATTTAGGGATTGAGGAGGGATTGGGGGCGGGGAAGGATTGGGCCTCCGGTAACCTCACTCACACGGCGAAACACAACGCTTACTAAACCTTTGTGACTTGAGATCACTCAAGTAATAAAATATTAACAAAACATTTACGTTCACAGTTATAAATTGCTTTAAAAATGCGTTAAGTTTGTGGATACAATCGTAATTATATGTACTGCGACCGGGCTTCACGTAGGAGAAATATTTTTTTAAATCTATTATAGCCTGACACTCCCTTTCGCTCCCCCAAGGCAGGAAAAATCATTGAATGAATTTCAAAACTAATTTGGACACTGAATTTTAGACTATAATTTCCACAAAACAGTAGACGAGATGGACATCGCATCTATTGACTACTCATAATTAATGTATAATAATCTGAATTCCTATTATGCCTCATAGGTAAACGTTGTTGAAGTGTGATATTACAATAAACTATTAGACGACTTTAATGACGAACGAGCAAGCAAAACTACGTGTCCTAAACTTTGAGATGGAGTACAAAAAAAGTGTTTGCATTCTATTGTATTATAGCTATGATTATAAAATGTAGCTGGTCTTCAAATGAATCAGCAAAGAACAATCAGAACAATGAAGATTTGGACGAAAGTTTCCATCTGTGTTCTATCTTAATGCCGATCACATAAATTGTTGTTCTTTTATCGCGAACGCTTCAAGACTTATTTACAGTCCTTAGTCACGAAACACTGGAATCACTGCAGTTGAAGATTGCAGGCAGAAGGGAAATCTTTATTTTCATTGGCATTTGTATCAACAATTCGGCTTTAGTTCCATTTGCCACTAGCTTTGATAGTAATTGAAACTAAAGCTAACTTGGAATCTAGGTAGCAATTTGCACTATTAAATAGATTGCGTAAATTGATTATCTATATTCGGTGTAAAGCTTCTCCCGGTTACTCTATAACACGATTGTAATTTCCTTTCACCTAAGGTATCATAACAGTGTTGAAATCCAATACTGTAACTCACGAAGCACGGTGTATAGAGCGGGTTAGTTTCTAGCATAATCCCATTGAAACGCTGCGGTAAATCTACGTGAACATTCTACGCAAAAGCATTTTCAGGTGAACGCGCTTGTTTATTTAAGAGCTTATTACAAAGGGTTATGGCAACACGTATAATTTGCTGAAGTAATCTTTGGTGCGTACGAAATAAAGATACTTTTGATGTGTACGCCAATCTTTGGTACATCCAAACCGATCCTAACGAAATCATAAGTACAGTCTTCAATTAGACAGTGACCTCTTCAGTAAAGCGACTCTTATCATCTAAGTTAATAACTATAGCGTGAGTCCTTGCATGTCCTGACCTAACACCTTTCACAGTGTCAGTACTACTTGGACTTGATTTTAGTTCACTTGATTTTTCACTCTTATTATTGTAACCATTACGACTTACTTCTGGCGGTCGGATATCACTACAGTTAGCTTCACCGGATATTTTAAACACTCCATTCTGTTTATCTTCTTTAGGTTCCTCGTTGAGTTCTGTACGTTTTTTAGGAGAATCAGTCGTGACGTCTGTCTGGCTTTGTTCTGCGTTGCTGTTCTCTGCGCTTTTAGTAGGACTAAAAGTTTTTTGCTTATAGGCTGGAGGTGCCTCGAAGGGCAAGTCTCTGCCACTACTAGAGGATTCTTCTGCTGGGGTAACAGTGCACATTAATCTATCCGCTACTGCACTGAAGACTGTGTTTAGTTTTAAAGGCGCTGAGTGGTCGGATGGGGGTGGTTTTCTATCATAAAGTGCTGCAGCGTCCTGCATGGCTCCTATTCTCCGTGAGATCACTGCTCCAGCACCACATCGCTCACGAAGTTTCTCTAACTGGTTACAGATTTTTCTGAACTCCTCCTTTTGAGTAAAGTTAAAAATCAGTGAATTGCCTTTATACCAATCAAAAGTACCCATGTACAAAACAATTGCCACACAGAAACAAATAAGTTTGTGCAAATTAGTTATAATATTTGATTTCTAGTCTGAATTTAAGCTGGATTCCAGACATTTTCGATGTAACGGCCCAGCTAAATTAATTAAGTTCCAGTCTCACCTGTCTGGCGTATTTAAGAAATATAAAAGCAATTTGGATATAGGTATAGGTACTGACAAGATACCTAAAAATTTACAGAACCATCTTAGATGATTGGTTCTTATTTCAAACATCATTTCGAGATTGATTTCAGATATAAGACACATAGTCTGTCTATATACACTCAAGGGCTATAATTGCATAAGAATTTAATAACATCACAGAAAAAAAACTCACCTCAAGTTCTCTCTCAGTCATATTATCACAAAACCTGGCGCTTCGGTTGGTGGTCATGGTGTACGTGGATTCTGCAGGCCTCGACCTGAATTTACCAGTCTTCTCTCGCTCGTCCTTCCCATGACCCTTATAGACCATGTAGGCCTGCAATAGAATACTTCTATTATAATCATGCTGTTGGATATTGACTACACGATAGTCGGATATTCAAGATGAAGACATATTTTGAGGATTATGGTTATAGAAGCTAATCGACCTTGGATCGTCATGAAGGTTTTCGGAGATAATTTTTCTATTCCACCTTTCACTAGTTTTATAACATTAGTCCTTTTTATTTAAAGAGTAGAAGTCCCAATTGTCGAAAACTGAAAATCATTAATTACTTCACTCAACTCAAAAATTATTTCCGAGATTGCGTGCTCAGCAGTTAACCTTGAAAAACCAGCTCGTCATTTTTTTATACTACTTCTATTTTTTTTTTAGGAACGATGCCCTTCACTAGGATTTTCTCCTGTGTCGTGGGTGCGTTAACAAACAATCAATTTCACATACACATCACACCCAGACCCGAAACAACAAATTGTTGATCACACAAAGTGTTGTTTCGTGCGGGCATCGAACCCGCGACACCTTGCACGGCAGCCAATTGCCTAGCCACCGCACCAACCGTGCAGTCAATCTATTACTTCGTGTTTGTATTTAACCGAGCTATAGTAAAGATATCATAAACATTCACTCTCCTAGCTTCTATCAACAGGCTTTAAATGTTTGTTTTTATCAATATTTATGCTTGTGTACATAAGGAAAACAATCCTCATAATGGCGGACATAAACTCATTGTAACGACCCTTCAACGGGCCATACAGAGCTGAAGTACTGCATGAATCCTAGTTCTTGTCAAGAGCTTTTACCACATTTATAGGAAAATAGTCAAAATTATTTTAAGAATAACTACAAAATCAATTTACTTGTAAAGCCTTTACTTGAAATTCTTATAAGTGAGACCGTGAACCACTCTCGTGCATGCGATTAATACCGAGTCTAAATATAATTATAAATGTTATTACTGACATAATATTCTTATGTTTTAAATAGAATCTTTGGATAAAAACAGTTTTAACGAGTTCCTTTTATTATTTACATATCACTTTATGTTTCAACAATTTATTACACAATTTGCACAAATGATGTGAATTACAATAATAATATATTGTTTGTTGCTCGTTCTTCTCCATCAGAATCAATACTTGGGATCTAGCAAAAGGCACTGAGATGACTGTCCGACAGGTGTCAAATTCAAAGGTGTAATTGAATTAAATGATTTGACTTTGAGGTTGAATCAGGTTCTTTCTTAAAACTTGAACGAAAACACAATAAACAACGCAGCAACGTTTTCTTCTTACCCACAAGATAAAACAGCATCAAAAAATATCACATAACGAGGGTAGGGTGGTCGCACTTGCCAGCCACTTTGGGATCGCGGCCAAATTAACAGTAATAACTGGTGCAACGGCTTACTTACTACTTACCGAGTAAATGGACAACTGATTATACCGTAAACGTTGTGAACAAAATGGAATCGTTTAGGCTGATGAGATCATTACCTATACAAAATATTTTGATAATACAGACGTCGAAGTAAACACAGCAGCATATAACGTTTTTTTATTAAGACCGTTGCGCACCGTTTCGTTCCTTTGTTTCGGGTGCATTTGCAAACATACATATTCACATACACAAGTCAACTAGACCCGAAACGTTGTTCGGTGTGGTCAAAGAGCCTGCGACACGTTGCACAGCTGCCAGTTGCCCAGCCATTGCACACACCGTGCAGTCAAAACTGTGCAAGACGTTAGAAAAACCGAAATGGAGCATTTAAATGTGGGAAAGCCATGTTTCGGCACGAATAGGCCTACTAGTCATTAGTGATATCATTCGGTCTCACAGAAGACTGGTGTCAAACAACCAACGCCATGTTGTGAGGTTTCTCTACAGTTATATCCGGACGCTCTATCCAAGACAAACAAGAATATAAATATAACTCATTTTAAAGAGTTCCACAACTTAATATAATCTATATAAAAATAAAACTCCAAGTTTATTTTAAGAAGACCGTTTATCCTAGTTTCAGTGTCTGCTTCGGATTGATGGAATCTTGTGAAGCTATTTGAACGAATAAGTGTTTAGTACAACCGAAGGTTTAATTATTGGAGCGTAAAGCTTAGCAAGGTAGAATCAATTGGCTTACGGTTCAACGACCTTAGTTATTCTGTTTAGATATCAAGGTACCGTTGTTGACAAAGGTCGGAAGCCATTTTGAAGCTCTGTTTGTTTAACATTATGAAATGTAATTGTTTGTAGGTAGTGAGCGTCTCTGTTGATAGATGTATGAGTACTTACATCTAAGCATAAGTATCAAGCAACTTTATTATAAAAGAAACAAGTATTATTCCTTAGAAATAGCCCGTTTTGCTCGTAACCGTTCGACAGTTTTCTCCCTTCAGCGACTAAACTTGACCAGTACCAATGTAGTAGTTTTGAATGAGAAATGAAGTATAGCCATTAATCCACCCGAGGATGTGGGCAAGCGCAAAAATATATCGCGGGCTCGACCAAAAGCAGGACAAGGAACAGGGTGGATTTAGTCATTCCCTCTCGCCCTATCCAGGGCTGGAGGCAAATAAGATGATTTTTGTTTGTCAAAACAAAAAAATATTACATTCATTAATAATTATAACGGAACTGAACAAAACATTGTAAATTCAGCAAAAAATCCAACCAAAAACAGTTCGACTAGAGTGAGATTCTGACGAAACAACTTATACGGTTAACAGTTTACCTGCCAATTGAAATTCTGTAGCGAAACTAATTTCGTTTCCAACTCCTCAGCAATCGGTTTAAAACTTTGTCCACTTTCATGATTCAATATAAAGTTTTACCGACTTTTTTTTCATTATAGATCCACCCTGTACGTGAGTGCTTACAAGGAGGGAAGTTAGAGTGTTAAGAGTTTAAAACTACTCTCGACTAAAGCGATACACTTGTTGAAGAAAATTCATTTTCAATTTTTCTTTGGGGATCTAATGAAGCTGTCATAGTTATGATATTGCGCTGTTAACTAATGTTCTGCATCATTTGTGAATTTGATTTATGATGTGGCTTTGGACCCTGGTGTGGATGTTAAACTTGTATGACTCTGGTCATGTTTAAGACTTTATGTTTGATTTGTTGTTGTGTGGCACAGTCAGATAATGAGGCTCGGTAAAGTTGCATCCTGCTTTTCAGGTTAGGTTAAGTTAGGTTACGTCGTTATCAAATCCTACAAATATGAACGAGTGACAAACGTCCATCATATTCGTTTACGTGGATACTATTGAATAGATGTTGATCAATATTGGCACAGAGGTTGATAAAAGACTCGATATATAACACGTAGATTATTTTTCTTTCGGAAACTCCGGTGAAACCGCTGGCAGAAACTAATCACTTCATAGTTCGGAGAAGCATGTATTTCAATATGCACCATTTTTTACCCAAAATACAATTTTGGGAAAGTAATCACTTTTGTCCCTGCGTGGAATGCAATACATGTCAAAGGATGGACGTTGTTTACAAACGGCTACGTTACGTCATCGTTGGTGGGTTTTATGAAATTTTCCAAAAGTACTGTATTATTTTGATGAAGTGTGCCAGTTGAGGCTTGATTGTATTTTTTATGGCATATAGAGGCATTCAAAGGCAAACGAGTAAATGGATCACCTGATAGTAAAATACTTAGGTACACATCAAAAAGTTGCTGGCCTTTTGGTAGTTAGGGATTTTTTAAATGGGGAAAAGGGAAGATCAGGTTTTTGGTAACATAACTTACACAGCAAAATACAACCCGAGCGTACGGCGCGTAGCGTTCCGCGCGAGCCTCAAAGAGCCATTCGACCACCACAGACGGGGCCCACTAGGGCTGATGTTCAAGGGGGTTTTTTTGTAAGAGGAAGAGGAAAAATCATCAAATTACTTCTCCAGCCCAGTGTTGAGTGGGAGGGTGAGGTCTCACCGCGACCTCGGCCCGGAGAAGGAGAAGAAACAGGGGGTTTTTAGTCAGTAAGAGTCTGACACTCACTAGAGAGCCATCTACCAAACACAAAAAAATTTAAAAATACTATTTTTTATTTTAACTTTAATATGCACATGATAAGTAAAAAATCATAAGGCGGACTTATTGACATAATATTTATTCTCTCCCAGATAACCTTAGGATTTAGTGTTGCCACTAAGTTAAAGTTTGGAGAACACGGCCTTATTTTTAAGATTTATGTGGTGGCAAATTAGCAAATTTAGGTGGTTACAGTTCGAAAAATGAAACAAATATTATAAAATATATATTTTCGGTAGCACCTATGTCGAAGTTCAGAACCGAGAGCTTCCAAATTTTATTGTAAGAAGTTACTATAACACAATTGGTAGACAACTGAAAGACCAACAAATAAAATTGAAAACCCTATCGTTGAAAATGGTCGTGTAAAATATTATTTAATACCGAACAACATGTGGAACAAGTTCATAAGATTTCAAAAGTTTTTAGAACTTACAGCAGTTATTACGTTGTCGTTAATTAGCAACACTTGTAATAATATATTTTAAGCAAGAAAATTATAATTAATTATGTTTAATACAACGAGAGCGACACAAAACTTGGATTGTTAAAGGGTTGTGTATTTTAGACAGACATGTATACGTCGCATATAACACGATATGAACATAATATATGTATAACAAAGACCAACTTGTTCCGGACTATCGTGCAAAGGACCTCGGGTTTAATTTCTGGACTGCTTAAATTCAGGGTTGCCCAAAGTACAGTAGGCTTTGTGTCGTTTCTTTTTTAATTTTCTTTTTCGAAATTGAGCCTGGTACTTAGAGTTATTAATTTACCTGGTCTTGTATAAATCCTACCAAAAGCATAAATCTCCTAATCTTCTAATCCCTATCCCACAATCTTACTTGCAATTCTTATGGATTGTGATTGTTTGCCATCAGGTGATACATGCTTACCACCAGTCCATAAATCATCGTTGGTCGCCAATCCAATCCCACAAAAAGTTACTGATATTTTATAATTCACCGAACCTCCATAGAGGAACATGTGCACTTGGTAATATTATACTGCTTTTCTTTCACCTCCCCTAAAGTAGTCCTAAATGGACTACTATAATCTGATTATCCCTTCAACGACATTTTAATGATCATATCACATATAAAATAATACAACACAGCTTTGAGCCCGGTACACACAGGATGACTCACAATTGATGTAACATAACATATCGCTGAAGCACTGAAGTAGTGTAGGCAACACACAAGCTTGGGATTACAAGGCCGTTCGGTTCCCAATTCAGGTTTTAATTTTTTTTGTCAAAATACATAACAAGACATAACCTCACAACACACCATATCATCAGTTATTAGTACTAACTGTTGAGGAAAGGTCTCTTCTCATACGTAGAAGGAATGAGCTTGCTCAAGGAGGATTGGCAATTTCGAACTTATAATTAGAAATTCTATAGTAAGCCCAGGTTTCTCACCATGTTTGCTAGGGATTTCTTAATAAAATAAGAAAGAAAATACAACTTGGAAAATATGATACTGGTAGTTGTCAGGTTTGAAACCTGCAACGTCATGCACATGAAGCGAGCTTCTTAACCACCTAGTATTGCAATTCTAATATAATCTACGTTGCTCTATATTTATTTTTATTATTACTCCTTAAAATTATAACGCAATCATTTATTCCAATTTTCAATGGCACAGAATACACTGTAATAATTATTTAAGCAATAAAGGGAACCAGGCCATAAGTGCAGAACCAACACATAGATACATACATACATACATACAGTCTGACCGCAATCTTACCGTGCCTACCTTGCTCCCAAAGATGAAGCACAGCAGAAGAGTCACAGTCAGCTGCGTGTGACAGAAGAATATTATGTACAGGAGGTCCGGGTTCGCAGGGGACTGGAGGAACAACCTGCAATGAAGAACTAGTGTTAGAAGATTTTTTACTAAGCATTGAAGAAGAATGTGTTGTTCGTATAGTGAGATTCTTATATTATTCTTTGCCTTTCATTCAAAATACAAGCTCTCGGTAAGAATACTCTGAACCTGTTCTTTTTTGCTTTTTTCCGTTTCCTAGCTGATATCACTACCAGCTACTACTTATGTTTAAATCAAACTGAAGATCTTAGTATCAAATTTACTCTCCCTGAAAAGCGAAATGTATTGTGTCGTCTTTAGCATCGTATCCACTAGAACTACAACTACAGACATATCTTTTCACTTTTTCAAAATAAATGCTTTTAAAAACATCCTAGTCTTTTACTATAAAAAGAAAACACGGCATGCACACTGCACTGTAACTTACTTCCGATAGCCCTGACTATAAGCAGCGCCATCAAAACTTTACCCATTCCCAGATTGTGGAGAAAGAATTCAAGTTCCGACTGGCATTTAAGAGTGCACCGGAACTTGGCAAGGAATAACTTCTCATACCACAATCATTGTTTCACTCGGTTCTCGTGTAATATCAAAAACTTTGTCGACGTCGACTCAAACTTGATTTACTTCGGTAACATTTTAAAAAGAATAATAATTGTAATATGTTATAGTCATTTTCTTGGCTTTTGTATTAAGAAACTGAGAAGAAGTATTTCTAAAGGTTATTTCTGCTTATGAAATACTAGTTTCCTTTAGTATATGTTTTGTTTTTTTATCGTTTTGTTCATTTCCAAAATGCTTGTCTAGCTAAAATGTAATTTTGTAACTCTTGAAGCTCATTTTAAGTCCTCCATTTAGTTACAGTAATCCCAATTGAATTTCGACAGCGACATACCGAGTTTTATGCTCTAGATAAACGATTGTATTCTTAAACATTATTAAAATTACTAAATCCCAACATTTTACTTCAATACAAAAATTCAGTTTTATTTCTGTAACTTATCATGATTTCTAGACAAAATTTCGTGATATTTTACAAGTTAATTCTATCCTATCTCATACATTTTGATTACGATATATTGAAAGGCACTTGCCTAAATCCATTGATCCCTGAAATTATATTTATGAAGGTACTATCTAGGACCTTCGATCTTATCGAGGATCCTAGCCATGACCTATGTTCCTCAAGGACTTAATATCCATAAAGTATGACGGTTGGAACCCACTTCATTTCACATGTGCTAAATCTTTTTGCCTTTGTTCACACGTAAATTACCGCAGCAAGAGATTTGGATTTTCTCCGAGTTAAAAGTTTGTACTTGAATGCTTTTCAGAAATTTCTCTTGAAGTAAATCCTTGTGAGTAAATTGCTTGTAATAAACGTCTATTGTGAGCTAATAACGTGATTGAGTATTGAATATGAGTGATACTTTAGCTCTAGATGTGTTCTCTAAGGATTTCAATTTTCTACTTTTTATTACAAATAAATCTTTAAGTATTTGGTATAAAATGCTGAACGTGTTTGCTTGGAAATATGTATATCTGCTTTGAATGTTATTTCAATTGTTTTGTAAGTAGCACGAATATTTTTTATAGTTTAATAGATAAAGGTACTTTTTATTGGGAGGAGTGGAAATCTCATGAGAGGTGCCAGATTCCTACTGACTAAGAACGATCTCGTTACTTCTCCTCCACCGATGCGGGGCTGCGGCACATTATTTCGCTTGCACAGCAAGTATATCCTAATCCAAATTAATAGTATAATTGCGAAAGTAACTCTGTCTGTTTGCCTTTTCTTCACGCCTAAACTACTGAACCTATTTGTGTGAATTTTTGTACAGATATAGTTTGGAACTCGAGAAAGGACATAGAGTAGTTTTTTAACCAAAAATCTGCAAGAAGTCACTATTTTACGCGAACAAAATCGCAGGCAAAAGCTAGTTTCCAATACTTTCGAGTCACGCTTAAAACGATTTCGTGAATTACCTATTATTTTGTTGTGTTAATTAGGAGAAGGTTCCAGTGGAAGAAAAAGTGGAAATGGCATTCGCCAAAAAAAGCGCACAGTTAATTTTATCTTATGTTAATTTTCTTCTTTTTTTCAAATAATGTCTTTACCTTCTAGTCATATTTTTATTACGTCTCTCTAATCAAAACCCTCCACGTTTTAAATCCCCATACACGTTTCATTGAGTATATTCTAATTAAAACTTCTCACTCAGCCTCCATATTAATAACTTATTTGTGTGTTGCATCACACTAGATGTAACCTCTGTAAAATAAATTGGTTGTGCCAGGAGTGAGTTTGCCACAATAGTTTAATGAGTTCCGGGCTCAAAACTTTCCGTCGTTAGCTCTATAACCTTCGCAAACTATCTCATTTCTAAATTTTGTACAAAATTATAAGGTGTTAGCATTTCATAGAAACACAGTCATATCTAATGTTACATTTGTAGTTATTGTTTGTTTGATTTACTACCTTTTGCCAATGTAGGCCGTTGTAATAGATTAAAAAAGCGTGCCTATTTCACTTTATAACCTGTGTGTGACAAATTGTATTCAGATTTGTTCAATATTTTCTACGTATAAGAGTAACAAACATCCATTCATCCATTCTTACAAACTTTGGCGTTTGTAATATTAGTTGGATTGTAATATGGAACAAACGTATAAATTTAAAAATGAAAACAGAGTTGACCTTCTTGTATGTCAAAAAAAAAATGTTACTGTTATACCGTTATACTGTTTTATCTAAATTAATTATTATGTTTTCGGCTTACTCACGTAATAATTTGACGAGATACTCGACTAGTTTTACTCGACACGCGACTCGGCAGCAGCGCGACAGTCACCGTGTCGCGTGTCGCGGAATGCTGCTCATGAATATGGGCCTCTAGCATGGCTTAAAACTAGTCGAGTATCTCGTCAAATTATTACCTGTTTTATCTAGATAATAGTTTTTTACAGCCAGTTTATTATTCTCATCACATTTATCATTCTGATATAAGAACTAAGGATATATGATTTTAATAGCCTGATTACTATTAGATTAAAAACTTAGTATTATATGAAAGATAGAGACAGACTTACATGGATATATTGAGGAAGACAGAGAGAAGGAATTCGTTGTATATCGCCATTGAGATGAACCGGCTCTCGTTGAACTCGGATGGCGCTTTCCGCACCATAATGCAGAGTCTAATGCCCCACACCAGGAATATTACTTCCACTGTGAGAAAGAAAAATAATATCAAAATATATAAAAATAAAAATCTGGGTTCGGTAACAAGTTCATGGCCTAATTGAAGGTGTGAAATTAAAGTACATTTTATTACTTCATTAAATTTAAATTTTAAAATGATGGTGTGTATCCTTTTGCGCCTCTGAGATCTGTTTCTAAAACAAACATATTCATGTATTATATTCTATCGTATTCTATTACAGTGGCTAACACTAGTCTGAAGCACCTTAAATCTTGTTGTATTTGTGTGTTTCATTCAACCCAATCTGGTTAAGAGTTGAAGCCTCAGAAGGTAATTAGGAAAACGCCAGGAGACAGAAAGAAAAATGTAATAATAAACTTTAAAAGCTACATTAACAGGAGTTACAATACAAGAAGCAACTATCCCAGAAGTAAACTAACTTCTACAAAAGTCTTTGCCGTCAAACAATATAATTTATTATTTTAAGAACTTTTCTTCTTATTAATTTGTTCCGACATTTTAGTCGCCAGTGTTAGTTCCTTTAATTGTAGCATTCTCTTCGAAGTTCGCTTTATTCCTAGGAGAATTGTGAAGAGAAATAATGTTTACAGAGTACAAAGTGCATTTAGCTCGGTTTGGACTTCATTAAATTTGTAAGAAGCTAAACTTAATTAGGGAGTTTGTTTTAATTTTTGTCTCTTGGGTTGCTTTATTAATTTAATAGTAGCTTGGTCGTTTAGGAGTTGTGAATTGTTACTTTTACGGATGAATCGAACTATTTAAATGATGATGAGGATATATAATATTTGTAATTGAAATTATTTTTGGAATTGATTTGATTATCATCAAATCAGTACAAAATTGACCACTATAACATTAAAAGTACGGGGGTTGGTTTATCAATTATTTAAGTTGTCGTATGTTATGCAGTTCTCAATATTAAAGACACGCAGATTACTAAATCTTAAGGAATAATACAATACATCTTAATAATCATAATCTATCTTTTAAAATTGAATGGGAGACATTCTTATATTGATATGAATATCAGACACGTCTCAAAACTACTAAGCTATAATTTTTAAATACATTGTCAATGTACTTACACGTAGTAAAAGAATGGTCCCACCAATCGGTGTTACACAAATACGCCTTGAGGTCATCCTTTGTTCTTCCAACTATGACAGCAGGTGGCGCTACCAGCGTGCGTATGGCCAGCAAAACGCATGCCACTCCAACAATCACCCCAATTCGACGAAGGAGATACATATCCGATATCTTCACTGCTTTTGCTGACCGTACTTGGAATATCACTGATATTCTGGTGAAAAAGTATTGTGTTGTTAGATTGATAATAGACATATTATTTGGTATACGTTGTTTTAATCATAGGTATTGATTATTTCTTCAAAAGGATTTAATCACTCTCTTGGTTTTTTTCTTGTTCGCTCAATTAACACTTTCAAAACCTACTGAACTGATACGTAAATATATTAGAAAATTTTCAAGATTTTCTTGTACAATAGCTATCATAAAATAAACTAAATCAATTTAAAATAGACTTACTTACATGAATTGCCTGAGAAAAAATCTACTCGTTTTAAGTCACAACGGGACTCTATACTACGAATGCTACTTAACTGTTAACAGTTAAAAATACTCCATCATCCTATGAAAACTGGATAAAGACGTACATAAATAGAGTCAAGTATGAAGCTTCGAATTTCATAAGAATCTTTGATTACTTAATGAATTCAGATTTAGGACATAATCCATAAATCAAGTTTAATTTACTCATATTTTCTCCCATCTCTTTCCCTCTCATATAATCATACGTAAACATTAGTACTGTCTCATAATATAATGTACCTATGCACGATCAGTTCCCAAGAAAACAAATCCTATTATGCAGACGTCAGAATCAAGTAGATTATCATAAATTGGCCCCGTAAACAGATTCCCTTTATTTACGCATCTCAAAAGAGGGTCTCAAATTTAAAAGACAACTTGATACTTATCTTGATAAGAATACAATTTCATTTCACCGGCATCTAATTAAAAGAAACTTGATCGCAATCTAAAAAGTTTAAGCCCAATTATATACTTGGAATGAGTCTCAGATTGAAGATTTAGAAAAAGTTGTTGATGTCAAATATATTAAAGAAGCTTATCATGTTTCGGAGGGTAATAAATTGCTTCTAAGAAAAAAGACTTCGTATTTTTTATGTTATAAGAATCAAAGTTCCAAAAAAAATATCTATATGTAACATTTTTGATTGGATACAAATTAATTCTTGTTTAATATTAAGCGACTTGGAAACGGTGGATCACGAAAAGATGAACGACTTGATTGGATTCTTAGGTAAGGAACAGAAATAGTAATAAACACATTTACTCTTTGTTGTATATGCGAAATCAACGTAAACAGCAACACGAATTAGTTCGCTACGCAAAATTCAATACAAACTGATTCCAATTTCAAATTAAACAAATTAATAACTTCATTCGCTTTACACTGATGGAAGAACAAAATTGAATTTTGAACTCGAAATTGAAATACCAACGTGGTACCTGTATAGATAGGTACATCTGAGTGACCCTAGGAGAATTGAGGGTCCTATTTCAAGGACCCTGTCCTAATCCCGAGCTTAATAACGGTCCAGTGGTTTTTTGTGATACCTGTATGAATAATTAGGTCTGTCAAAAGTTTGTGACCTTCGGTTAAGATAAGTGGGTTCAACTCTCCATGTTTTGGTTAGATAATAAACAAATTCGGTGGCGAATTTTAAATTTTGATGATGCGTGCTATACCGATCGTTTCGTTTTATGGGAAACTGCTCTGGTCTATGATTTCTTAAATCTTATATCCGCTTTAGCTGTGATATACTTACCTCCAAGTCTTCAACATGAGGGCTCCGTAGGTGAGACAGAACCCAACTTCCCTTAGCCAGACCCTAGCAGTGCAGGTAAAGACAGTCGGTCTTCCATACATGACGAGAGTGGTGCAGTAGATAAGGAGAGCTCCTAAAACGATCACCCGGAGGAGTGCTGGACTTGCTGCCCTGACGACCTGGACATAAAATAAGAAGATGTGAGGAATTTAAAAGTAGGTCAAATGAACTTACTTAAAGGAGAGATGGGAAACAGTCATTATAATGATGACAATTTAAGTTTCAAAAAGAATTACTTATTTATACAACATAATATGTTACTTATTTATACAACATGTCATTTTTGTATGCCCTCTACTTCAGAAATTACTTTTCGAAAATTTTGAAAACTTAATAGTATAACTTACTACTGCCAATTTACACGAAAGACTAGCAAATAAAATCAAAAAAACTATAAACAGTTGTTGCGAAAAGTTTTTTAAAATAAATACCTAAATTCTCATTGACAGCGTGGTTATTTGATCGATAGCCTAGTATGATAGATGGTTTGAAAAAAAGAGACACTACAAAATATTGATGTGGTCTATTGTTATGACATTTTTTTGTGTTTTGTATACTGTTGATTTCTCCTAAAGCGAATGTTCGTTGATTAATTGAGGTGGCATCATATTAATTATCAAAAATGTCTACCATATCTTTACTGTATTCAGGCCTTACTTCATTGATTTACTAGTTTTATTTAACAACTTCCAAGCGCTTAGTTCAAGGTTATTCCGTATTTGTGACATTCTTTTCTTGCCACATAGAAATGCCACATTAAGTCTTTGATAAAAGTTGCCGTATTTAAATTCTCCTCAAAAACTGCGACCGTCACCATACATAGCATGCAAGGTCAGAGTAGATATGAGTGTTCCAACTTGTATCTGCATAGGAATTCGGTGAGATTTCGGATAGCCCAGCAAAATACGATGCGGAAATACTGTAAGTAGGATCATAATTTTTAGCTAAACTACCTTGTTTTGTCGGTGGAACAGACCATAGTGGGTGCAATAGTGGTGTTTTAAATGTTCGGAATGGGTGTACGATTTGCAAAATTTCGTACATCGTTTTAGAAACTTGTTTTAGCGGTTCAAATGGTTCGGTTGTTTTCTGGTTTTTGCTGTACATGACTGTTGTTCTATTTCTATGCTTTGTTTTATTTTCTTTATTTTTGGAACCGTTACAAGAATTACTATAGTTAGATAGCATTAGTCATCACATTACCAGCCTGAAAGCCACTGCTGAGCAAAGGCCTCTTTTTACACTAATAAGGTATGAACTTTAATCACCACTTTTTCTTAAGGATCCAAACTTACAATAAGAAATAATCATTCCGGGTTTACTCAAGGATTTTTTCACCGTATGTCGTTGGTGTGTAAATAATCTAAATAAAGTACTTACATATATTATATTTACTTCATAATTAAAATAGGTACCTACTTGCGCGAATTTAAGATACCATTTAATTTCCAGATACTAAATAAGCAAACAATGGTGCCTTGTATAAACTAAGATAATATTAATCAAGATCGCACTAAGGACTTGGGTTGTAATTTGAAATATATAATATATCTTACTACAAAGAACACATAGATATAACTATGATCACACGGTACATAGTAAAACTAAATTCCAAGATATTGATTGAGCAGGTTAGCAAACGTTATGAATACTGATTGCGTCAGTAGATATTTGATAAGTTACCGTGTAGTTACTCGAAGACGGGATTCCGATTTGTGTATTAATCAGTTCTATTAATTGGAAGTACGCCTGATGCTAATGAGATGACGAGAGAGGAAATTCAAATACGTTTTCAATATATTAAATGGTAAAAGAAGAATCTTTGTTTTAGATTTTTAACATTTATACATACATTAGACATTGATTTATTTATTTGCCGGAAATAGCCTAGATATAACTATAAAAAAATTATTATTAAAAAAACAAAATACCCGACTGCACACTAAAAAAAGAGTAAAACAAGCCCCACAATACAAATTTACTGAATATAATTTATAAATGTTGATGGAAAGCATCGCAGGCGGGGACCAACAGAGGCTTATTTATAGTCATTTCTGTTGTGCACCATTTAGCAGAATTTTCGTTGGTGGCGGTCAAGGTGGTCCCCGCCTGCGATGCTTTCCATCAACATTTATAAATTATATTCAGTAAATTTGTATTGTGGGGCTTGTTTTACTCTTTTTTTAGTGTGCAGTCGGGTATTTTGTTTTTTTAATAATATTTTTTTTATTTATAACTTTTTAGCTGTTTTTATTTATCCCGTGGGACTTTTAGGATAAAATGTATCCTATGACACTCCCGTAATCAAGACAAATCTAACGATACCTCATACATCAACATCCATCAAGCCGTTTAGGCTACAGGAGGTCACAAAGGAAAAGACATACATACATACTTACATACACTCGAAAAACATTACCCTCCTTCTTTGGCAGTCGGGTAAAAATATATAAATAGAAATAGAATAGTAGTCCAAAATTCCGTCTGGTGGTAAAAGGTTTACGATAAAATGATTTCGTACCGTAGGACCATTACGCTTCCTTCCATTGCTAACCTACTTCCTATGACATCGAAAAGTAATTAATCACCGACACCAAAGATTATGATGTCCCTTTGTCCTGTCTGAAAATAAATCCAACACCCTACCAATTACTACCTTCAATTCTTCGTCAGAGAGTCATCAATTTTTATCCCCTTCCTTCTTCAAGTTTCACCCCCTTTCTCCCATAATACATTAATCAAGGACGCCATAACCCTCAGCTATTAGTCTCTGTCAAAATCATAATAAGTTTTCCCCAGATGTGATTGCTCCAGACATTGTGTATGTTGTGCGCAATTAATTAGTGTAAGCTATAGAAATTGAGGGTTACATCACCTTGGATTTTGGGCGTATGCTTTAAGGTACATTTTTGTTTAACCATGCTTTGTACTGTTCTTTTACTAATGAAATGATGCATTTATTTTTGTTAATAAGCTAAGGAGCTAAAATTCTAAGAAAGACCGAAACAAACTAAGGGGTATTTTAAAGTACAGACCAATTTAAAATGATATGAAACAATTGCGCAACTCCATTCTGTAGTGGTATTTTGAGGAAAGAGCCACACTTGAGTGGGCCTGTTCTGACAGCAACCGCGCAAGTGTCAGTCGAGAAAGCTCTATTAACGAGTTTTCGGGAACTGTCTGATTTTGTAATTATTCAAATCAAAAGAATGTTTGGGTGGGCACAAAAATAAATATTCAAACTATGAGAAGGAAATTTATAAGCAATCAAAAGGCGATCCAAAGTCTTACGCAGTTGTTACTAATCAATGTCAATATGCCAAAAAAAATGAATTAAGTTACAATTAATACTAAAAATGTTCCTATTGGAACATATATCGAAAGCGAGTCAATATCCTGATATTTTACATAGATATACAGAATGAAAAGCGAGATGTATATAATCCGTAAGAGACGAATGTGTTTGACATGTGAACGTGGAGGAAGCTACAAAGCTTCCTACATTTTTCTTATCATCTTGCGATATAGTAAAAATGAGGCTATAAGTATGTATTTTTTTTCATACCACAGATTTATTTACCCTTTTATAATGCCATGTACTTAATTTTGTTAGCTTTCTAAGCGTTAACTCACGTAATGTGAAGAATTCCGTAAGTATTATCAAGGCTGACTTGACATTGAGCGATTATTTAAAAAGGGAATCTCAAATTTGGGTTTATTTGACTTAGGGCTTATTTTTGGCTTATTTTTTAATGGTTAGATAAAAGTTATCTGGGGAATAATTATGAATTATACGTCAGAATAATTGTTAATATTGTATGTTGCTGTCACTGTTTTTGTATAAGACAGTGAGAACAACAATTTTATTCCTCAGATAACATTTATCTGACTTATGAAAAATCTGACATTAAAATTATACCTATATCTAAACTGCCAGAAAAAGGATTTATATAATAAGACAATGAATGGAACTATGATTAAGTCTTCAATTTCAGTAATACTCACCCTGACATGCCCATACTTGATGGTGAAATAGACGATGAATGGTAGACAAGAGATGACCAAGCAGGCAAGTGCGAAGATAGTAGTTCTGACCACCCAGTTCAGGGCTGCCACGCAGGGAGATCCATCATTGCAGGCTTCACAGCCTTCAGCACAGGGCAGGCACTCATAGGCGTCCGGGAGAGAGTATAGACTGCGTTGGAGCTGTCAAAACAATAGTTCTTTAAGAAAGAATACTTCGTTTTGTTAAAAATTGATCTTCAATATTTTTGGTTTTAAGGTAAAGAGAAATGATGAAGATAACGTAAGATTAAGCAAAAATATACCTACAATAATACTATATGCCCTCATTTACAATGAGCAGCAGCATAAAAAAACAATCCGTCCTTTTTGTCATTTACTAATTAGATTTTCTACTCAACATTTTAAAATAAGATAAAAATTCCAATGAAAAAATTAATAATGTAAGTACCAGTGCGTTCTAACTACACTATTCATTCTTAAATGTTACTGCTAAAACATGAATGTTCCTGCTGACAATGACTTTTAATTTTGCAATCTCTATAATGCTCACTATAAAATACAAACGTATGTCCTGACATGAAAAATAAATTAACATTTTGGAATTTTTAAAATAAGTAAGGATTTTTATAAACTTATTATATTTCATTCAAAAACATAATATTTATCAAAATAATGAACTCTACAAGCGTTAAGCGGTACTTAAATTATATGTATGTTTTTCATATTATTTTTCACTTGTTCGTTTAAAATAAATAACGAAAATTAGGTATCTTTTTAGAGAGCTTTGAATTAATACCTCGTTGTATGTAGAGTAATGAATACTAATATGATGTTATTACATTATGTAAATCGTAATGTAATTTAATAAAAATGTTTTATACAAGATAATATACATTTTTGAAAGGTAGACAAAGGAGACTAAATAGACTAGACTCACTCACACGGCGTAACAGAACGCTGTGTTTTACGCCAGTTTTGGTTGAAAGTTTGGCTTACCGGCTTTTTACTGGAGGCCCAATCTTTACCCTCCAAAACCCTAAATCCCCAACCCTCAAATTCTTACCAACCCACAAAAAGCTAGCAAGGCACTTATTTGGTGTTGTAGGTATCCATGGGCCGCAGATTGCTTACCATCAGGAGATCCATGTACTCCTTTGCTGACCTATATAATAAAAAATATATACCTCCTATACATAAAACAAAATTCCAGTAAGATGTTGACAAATAACCTGTTCAGACGGCTATCCATTGAGATACACAAACCAGTTCATTATGATCTCCATTTTTATGATCTTTCCACACAGTCAACGGTCAGTTTATACTGGTTGTCCATCCCCTTAAGAGTATACCTACTCAAAGTAAAAACTCACCAGTAAATGTTTCTCATACTCTTCTTCGATATCACTGCCGTTGTAGAATCGACTGTCAGCTGTAGTGTTTGGGAAGTAGAACCCTCTGCGACACACACATCTGTAGGACCCACGACGAAACCCCAATCCAGGTACAGGTACACACTGTAACAAAAGAAAAATATTTTATATAGTCATTATCGTGAGACATACTGAAGTTATTGAACATAAGGACCAGTGTCATTATGTGACAGTAGTCGTGGTTTCCCGGAGGTTAAAAGTCCCGCTTCTCATGCGTTAGGAGGCAGGAGGTGGGTTCGAAATACCGAGTTGTATGTCCTTTCTAAGATTTTTTAGACAAAACTGACATGCTATTTTCAATCAATTTTGACTCAGGGTATCAAAATAATTAAATAAGACGACGTTTTATTAGATGTTCCTATCATAAAGGTCATGTTATTGTTTTTACAAAAATACAAATAGGTATTTTCATAAAAACTAAAAAAGAACTTTATTGAATATGAGCTTAGATCTACATTTTATCGTTAAAAATAAATTTATATCGTTACTAAATTAGAAAACTTCCGACGAATATTATTTAATAGATCATAGAGCTATTCAAAATGAGACACAGTAAATAACAGGCATAAATAAACGCTTTTCAATGTATGGGCGTTAAAACAGAAAGTGGTTCCGACAAACAAAATTTATTGGGCGCCCAAATATCTCTTGTGTTTGATAGTCCAGATAAATAAGCTTTATACTCAGGTTCCACATTAATAAAGTAGAAAGCATGATGAGGTTTTATCTAATTGGTGCGTTTGAAATTGGTGTTTTTCTTTCGACAATACCATTATCGTATTTACGTCTGCTAAGAAAAAAAAACTGGTTTTCGTTTTTTCTATTATTGATTATGTGAATATTGATTTGTTACTATGAACTCAATGCAGGTCTCCTTAATTAACTTGACCAACTTTCCTAATTAAGTGCATTCGATTCGTTTTTAATTTGCGTAAATACGATCATGTTTGATAACCTGCAATTAAAATGGTTGCTTATACGCCAGCGTAGGGAGCAAAGGGCTGTAACAACCCTGTTATTTTTCCTTGACTCGCCCTTTTCGTCTAGCTATATTTTTTCTTACTTTCAATTATTGTGGGCTTCAACACCGCACTGATTTCTTTCACTCTTTCTTTTTTTCCAACGTGTCTTACTATGAAATACCTTCCCTCCGTATATAAACAGAAATCCTGTATAGTCAATGGTGATTTTATTATAACGATCTACAATCTAAATATCAATGTTATTGGTAAAACATGTATGTATCCTTGAGGATAAAAATGTACACTCGCTCTATTATTACAAAGAAATACACATTGCACTTATTCCTATTGCTTTTATTATTAGAAAATGAAATAAAGATTGATATTATTCAAACTTACTGTTTGCTGGGACAGAAAAAACTACACACGGTTTGTTCACTAGAACGACGAACAATGGATGACAAATATGACCTCATGTCTCGACATAGGACCGAAGGACCACTTTTTATACCCAATGGGTCCTTTGGGTACGCGAAGAAATATTGTTTCATTTCGCTGGCCAATCATGTCACGGCTATGGATTTCCCATTTCTAAGTTCTAGGTGACCCAGTTTGGTATGGTGGTTTGATTGTATAGAATTCCAAACTGCTTTTTGGAATAGAAATATTGTTTTTGTGTCTTTTCCGATAGTAAACATGGTACAGTTTGAGAATGTTTTTTCAATTCTAGAGTGATAATTTAACGTCCAAAAATACAGAGAGGTTATCTCTGTATTTTTGGACGTTTTTAGATTTGTTGATATTCCTTTCTTTTTGATTTAACTATAAGTAGCTGTAAAGTATTGTTTCGGGAATACGATCATGATTGTCAATTTTATTGACTAGTAGCTACACACATTTGCGCATAATTTAACATATTTGAAGGTAGGTCTCCAGACAATGATAGTTACGTAACCTGAGTTACTGTAACCCAAGTTAATATATCTAGGGAATAGTCAACCTTGCTGATATTATAATATAATACATTATTATGTCATGTTGATATAATAGATTTGAGCCCCGGCCGGTACTAATGAGTAATTTTCGGAGTTAAATGTACTTTTTAAAAGAATTCAGAAATCATTGATTTGTGATGAAGGAAAAAATCAACAGAAAATCTGGACTTTTCTAATTTAGTTTGAAATCTTTAAACCGTCTTCAACAAGCGTGACAATGATTTTCTGTGTGGATTCGTATCTAAGTAGATATATATACATGTATATATAGACTGCTGGAGAAGGGTCTTCTCCAGCAGGTAATCTGGACATTATACTACCTAGCCTTGGCTGAAAAAGTATGATGATGTGCTTATCTTATTACCTATTTCTTTCGACTAAGTATCTGCGAGTCTTGTAATCACACCAATTCACCAAAATTAAATCTACGACTAGCTTTTATTTGCAATAATGTTTCATTCGTAAAAAAGATTCCAAACAATATTACAACATTACATAAACACATGGTTCATCTTCGTTTCCTTGTCTCGAGTTACTTATTGTCAGTGAAATATGGTTTTTCCCTCCCATTGTTCTCAATCAACCGTTACCTCATCATTCACTCCCTATTCTATCACATCTCTGCCTCATATGCCACATACACAACTCTACTCTCACACCATAATAAAGTTAAACAAAAACCGCACCTAATTATATCTAAATAAGTTTCATTTTCGGTCACTTATTAATTTAATTAAATTTCTTCCAATTGGCTTCAGGGGTTAAATTACACAAATGTACGAACAACTCAGAGCTGAAATTTACATCATGAAACGATTTGATATCTCGGTAAGATTGAATTTGAAACGTTCTAGTCTATAAATTTTGATGAAAGTCAATGAAATTTCATAGAATTTCTAATGGACACTGTTGGTTTTACTCGGAACTGCGATTGTTAGCGCACGTGAGAACATCGTAGATATGTATATTATACTATAGAACAAAGTTCTGCTATTCAGTCTAATTAAGAGTCCAAGGTCAAACAAGATTTTAGTTTCAAAAAGGTCGCCTTACACGGTTAGCGTACTGACTAGGCAAATGGCTGCTGCGCACCGTATCGTGGGTTCGATTCCCAGACAGAAGAGCTTTTATGTGATCCACAAATTGATGTTCCATGGGTTGGTACTACACGTATGCTGTACATGTGATTTTCAAGATATGTCAGGAAAAATAGGGAATGGCTAGGCTAGAGCATTTTTTAAGTTAAAAAGTTACCTTTGCGTTTTTCCATATATTCTTTTTTGTGTGCATATTGGTAAAATAAGTGAACTACATAATTATCTTAACAGTTTCAGTAAGTTTTACTATGACTCCCAATAAAAAAATGGTTTTCATTTACGTCCGAATCTTAATTATCTAAACTAATATTATAAATGCAAAGGTTACTCTGTCTGTCTGTCTGTCTTCTTCACGCCTAAACTACTGACTTTATTTGTGTGAAATTTGGTACAGACATAGTTTAAAACTCGAGAAAGGACAGACGCTAGTTTTTTTGCCAAAAATCTGCAGGACGTCACTATTCCAAGCGAACAGAACTATACACATGTAAAACAAAGGGTACCAACCTTACATATAAACAGTAATTGTATTTTTACACAAGCCTGGCTTTAAGACCGCCGTATGTACCTTTGCTTCAGCCGGGGTTGCGGGGTAAGCACAATGTGGCACCGCAGCCCCAGCCTAAAGCATGAGAAGGAACGAGGAGGGTTTTTATTCAGCTCTCGCCTTACCCTGGGCGGAAGAAGACATTTGCTGATTTTTCCTTGATAAAAAAGTATCTTTCTTATTAATTTTGTTTCTAAATATGCAAAATGATTTTTTGAGTAAATAAAATGAAAACAGGTTAATTTATCAAGAAACACGGAAACAGAGAGACCTACAAACACTGTCGATAAGTCTTTATTATGTAGATCATATAACAAGGGTACATTCTGCCCAATTTCAAATTAAAATGAGGACCAAAATATCGGATCGAGATAATGAGATTTTGTCGATTTAAAAGAATCGAAATGAAATCGATTCCTGTTTTAATACGGACTACGGACAGGGATTGTTAATAACGCTGGTTTTCTTTTTGTTTGCTTAATCTTTTAGGTCGGCGTAATATTTTTAATGACTTCCGAAAAAAAGATGTTGATAGTATATTTTTTTTTACATTTTATATAAAAAATTAACTATGAAAAATGTAATTTTGATTCACCTAAGATTATTTATTATTTGTAGCATGCTACGGGATTGCCATACTATTCGCACAGTACATAGCAGTACTATCTCTTAATATCGATAGGATAGAAGTTTTTATCAATTAGAAATTAATTAGGAACGACAGATGTAATTAATGTCAAAAAGTATAATAGGTACTACTAGCTCTTGCCAGTGGCTTTACCCGCAGAACATACTAGCATTGTAAAAATCACTCTTTATGTTATTTTAGACTATAATTTAGTTTAATTTAGACTATAATTTTTCAATTTTAATTTATAATTCGTTCCGAAGTTTTTAAATGAAAGACTAACAAATATGTACCTATCAAATTAACAAACTTTTACGTTTATAAATAGCCACAAATAATTAGACTATGAAACAATTGATCTAGGAAATACATTTCATGCTACACAAGCATTCTAAATAAAGTACCTAAACCTCAATATTTTTTACCTGCTGATGTAATCGAAATGAGGTTTTGATGGAAGCGAAGACATGAACTCAATCTTACAAAAAATAAGTTGTCGAATTATTAAGGAAAGGAAGCCAGCAAGTGTATCTGCGATCGAGGTGAATGACCCTTGGGTATAATGTTAGGAAGCAGATAGTTGGCATATTAACCTATATTATATATTTTTGTAATACTCTAACTTAATAGTAAATTATGGTTTAGCATCAATTTTTAATACGAACTTAATAAAACAGTCGAAACTATTTTCTTTACTATTTACTAGCTTCGGTATGTTATTATTAAATAATAACGTTAAGAGGTAGGTTCCTGTTTCGGATTCAGCGGGAGGAAACGCCCGAGTGTCGTCATTGTGAGGACCACCTAGAGGATACGGTGGAGCATACGGTAGCGGTATGCCCTGCCTGGGCTGAGCACCGCCGTATCCTCAGGGAAGTGATCGGCGGCGGCGACCTCTCGCGCCCGGCCTTAGTCGAGGCCATGGTGCGGAGTGAGAGGAACTGGGACGCCGTCTCCTCCTTTTGTGAAGCAGTCATGCTCGCAAAGAGAGAGGCGGCCCGCGTGAGGGAGCAATCCTCCTCCTCACGCCCCAGCAGCCGCAACTGGCGACACTACGGGCGTCGGGGATCGAGGGACGATCTCCGGCCACCGTAAGTACGGGCCTGCGGTCGGCGAGTAAGGGCAGCTCGCCGCCCGACCAGAACCAGGCCCGAGCGTACGGCGCGTAGCGTTCCGCGCGCGCCTCAAAGAGCCATTCGACCACCACAGACGGGGCCCTAAAGGGCTGATGTTCAGCCGGGGTTGCGGGGTAAGCGCAATGAGGTACCGCGACCTCGGCACAGAGCAGGAGAAGGAACAGGGGGGTTTTTAGTCAGTAAGAGTCTGACACTCCCTCCTGCCCGGCCCTGGGCGGGAGAAGTCATTTGATGATTATCCCCTCACAAAAAAAAAGAGCCATTTTTACAATCTTCTATAAGACGCTATGTATCAATAAAAATAGTTTGTAATTTTTTAATTATATGTCCCACAAATGATTTCCAGGAACTTTTATGGAGCCATTGAAACGGAAGCTAAGAGTCACACAATGTTTAATAGTTTTATCCTTTTTGTTTATATATTTTTTGACGCATACATTTAAGGTCGAGCTATAAATTAAAACACACTTAAAGCTATATTAGCTTAAAATACACATACACATTTTGAGATGACTAACAATCGAATTTTGCTTAATAGGAATAAAATTCTCAACTTCAGATTTGGGAACACCCGGATTTTTGTTCAACATTCACTCTTTTTATCACTAATAAAAATGGAAACAAAGAAATATTCCCAAAGATATAACTGTGATGTATCGTTTCGATGAAAATCGGAGACAGACCTAAGACATTTGGTACTTCGGCAGCCATCCAAAGTGTTCGAACGTGACTAAGAATTGTAACCTTAGCCTTCGTCTAGATTCGAGTAGTTTCCATAAACGGTTAGACACAAAAACTTATATATTCTGTGGTTAAAAAGCTTGTACATTCGATGTGACATCATTTCTAGTGTTACCTAAGGACGTCGATATAAGTAAGTACTTTTTTATAGTCTTTTTTTTTATGTATTGAGATGTCTCCATTAATGTTATTTTTTATTTAAATTGCCCCTTGAACTATATTCGTATGCTTTTGTAAATTTTGCAGGCACAAAACAACTTTTGACCTGTGACTATTTGAATAATGTTTCAAAGAATTTCGGTCTCTCTGATCGTGGTTTTATATCAAGTTATCTAATAGGTATATTTATTGACAAGCAAGTAAGCACAAAGTTCAATAGAATATCGATTTTTCGTGCTAACTGCATTATTTAAAGTTTCCATTCGATTTTTAAAAAATTGTATTTTTTTTATTTAAGTCTATTTCTAAGCAAAATGACATCGAACTCTTAAACATAAGACACATTTCATGATTAGTATAATGAGTAGAGAATAATTAATAGTCATATATAAATCACTACGGACCCACAGACCCTCATTGAACCCTTCAGAAAGGTTCAGTGGAATCATTTACTGAACCATATAATGTAGCTCCCATAGAGTAGGGATACATTCAGTTATAAATCGCAGAACTATTGGTAATCCTTCGACCCGCTGGATTTGTGGGATCCCAGATCACTTATGTTTTATGCAAACGACGTTTTGTCTATGGTTATATGTATTCTTTTTTTCTATATTGTTTATTGGTAAAAATATTCTGATGTCATTTGTTGAATATGAACGAAATTTATTTAAAAATTATTAATGTTATATTTTATAAAATAAGATATCGTGATAATTTTGACTGCACGGTTGGCGCGGTGGCTGGGCAACTGGCTCCCGCGCAACGTGTCGCGGGTTCGATTCCCGCACGGAACAACTCTTTGTGTGAACCACAGATTGTTGTTCCGGGTCTGGGTGTGATATGGTGCATGTGAAATTGTATGTTTGTAAACGCACCCACGAAACAGGAGAAAATCCTAAAGTGGGGCAACGATTTAAAAAAAAAAATAATTTATATAATAAGCGTCTGTTCCACTATACATATCTAAATAGCTTCTATGTACCAAATAAATGTGAATTTAATTTGTATTTGGGCCTGTTTTTATGGTACCCATATGAACGTAGCAGAGCAGGCTCTAAACGAAGTTAAAACTTTAATTCATTCAGTATATATTTTGGTGGGAATCTACAGCAAATTGGGTTACCAATTTATCTTTTCGATTTGTAGCTATTTTCCCGAGTTGGACCAATAAGGCAGAAAAGCGTTGTCTTTGCCCAGCCTTTTCTAAAAAAAACAAAAGTTTTGTGCTGACGTAAAGTGGATCTCGACCACAAATGTCCTTATTTACGAACCTGGATAGATAGGAAAGACAGTGTTTACAAATCTAGCAGTTCAGACTGCGATAAATATTAGATTGATGTGAGAAAGTTTTGGGAAAAAATCACGAGAACGTGTATGAGAAAAATGCTTACCATCATACCTATATTCAGTTTGTTACGCCTAACTAAATGATTAATTAAAAATAATAGGTTGACAAGCAAATTAAATTCCATGGAATTTTCCACTATAATAGAAGTATTTACACATAATTTAACGATAAAATATAGAATAATTTTCAATTGTAATCCATATCTCTGAGGCATAAACTTAATAAAGAAATTACGCGTAAAATAATTAACAAAAAATAACGTCATATTGTTGAATATGAGTTGCTAAACCTACAAAACGTTACTTGCAGAATATTTTTCCTTTATTAGTTTTGACTGATTCCTTTTACAAATAGAGACTGAATATCTGTTTTCATGTGAGAAAAAGTTTTAGCTATAAAATAAATCTCGAAGGAAAATCTACCATTTGTGGACCAACACGGTATCATAGTGATCCAATAGGAATAAAAGATTATGAGTCACTTTCCAAGAGCCGTTTTGGTATTTTTTTGAAACGTCTGTCTTTGGTATAGATAAAGTAAGAGTGGGAGAGTCATGTTTCGACACGAATGTGTCAGCTCGGCCGGAGTGATGCCACGGCCTCACAGAAAACCGGCGTGAAACAACCATAGCGATGTGTTTCGCCATGTGAGTGAGGTTACCGGAGGCCGAATCCTTACTCTCCCCCAATCCCTAATCCCCAAAAGGTCGGCAACGCACTTGTAACTCCTCTGTTGCGGGTGTCCATGGGCGGCGCTGATTGCTTACCACCAGGTAATTCGTCTGCAAGTTTGCCAACCTATAATATAAAAAAAAGATGAAAATTACACATGCTACTCTCAAATTTCATGTACAATGTGTTTTCAACTTTATTGCTATTTTGAAGACAGTTGAAAATCTATTAAGTAAAAACATTTCGGATCACTTGATGCGCTTGTGTTTTTACTTTCGGTTCCGCGAACCTCTTAATTGGTAAAAGCAATTTTGACATTAATCACGAAACTTTGATGAAATGAATTAATTAACTTAGTTCTAGGAAACAAAAGGAAAATGCTTTTTGAATTCAAATGATATTTTACAATCGGTTTCAATGAAACAATAAAGTTATTAGCGTAGTTCAATTGTGGTTAAATAAAGAAAATCAATGATATTCGGTTGAAATTAACTTTATTTACCGTACGATTATGAGTTTTTTTTTGGTATGACGGTAAAAGAGCAGACTTATAACCTGATGGTGAGCCATCGGCGTTCGCAACAACAGAGGAGTTACGAGTACTTAACCAGTCCATTCGTGCTGAAGCATGGCTTTCATGATATTATAATTATTGATAACTAGCTATTCTCGCACGGTTTCACCCGCTGCTCGGCTCCTATAGATCGTAGCGTGATGTTTTATAGCCTATAGCACTCAGTAACATTGTAGCTATCTATCAGTGAAAGAATTTTGGCAATCCGACCAGCGGTTCCAAAGATTACCACCCTCTACATACAAACTTACAAATTTTACCACTTTATAATATTAGTTTAGATTATCTATAAGCATTCTGTATTCACATATCAATCACGCAATATGTCCTACAGAGGTAACCAAAACATTCATATGTGCAGCCACAAATATTTTTCGAATGTACACAATGCATTCTCATACAACATGAATGCCAGTGGCCTGTACGATGTCCACCAATGATTGATTGATTTGATTGAACATACCAACATTTTATTTATATTTTTTTTATGTTGTAGGACGGCAAACGAGCTGACGAATTAGTGGAATTCCGAGTGCGTTACTGACCTTTTTGTTTAAGGTTTGGTGATTTAGGGACTTGGATGTTAGGGGACGGAAAGGATTGGGCCTCTGGTAACCTCACTCAAACAGCGAAACACAAAGCCGCAGTTGTTTCACGCCAGTTTTTTTTTTTTTATTCTTACAGATGGCTTACAGACTTATAGTACTTAAATATTATAACTTAAACTAGATTATTACATTGCTATTGACAAGCCCTCACAATATATAATTATTACAACTATCGGAAAAAAAAGGAATAAATACCAGATCAATCTCAATATTAATTTGAGAACCGCTACTGAGAATCAAATAATGATTTAGTTAAAAGTCGTCTAACTGTGCCCTTTTCTGTGAAGCTGTGGTATAACTCCGGTCGAGCCGACCCATTCGCTCCGAAGCATAGCTCTCCCACACTTATTCAATAACACTACAAAATTCTACGCGTCCGTTCATCAATCTATGCTAAATAATTTGCGTCAGATTTTAGATTTTATAAGGAAAATTGAACCGTCTTCTTGTGTATTATGGATGACTGTAAAAACATCCCCGTTCTAATATTCTTATCAGCTATTGATTTTATATTAGGAAGACGGATTGTGTACCTAAGGTGATATTACCCTATTCTAGCTCAATTTCCTACACTTTCAAAGTAATTTATTGCTTTTATATAGGCCTGCCTTTTCTATATAAAATCGATAAATTTGTGTAGGCTTCTTCTCCATGTTTTGATGTGTTCCTGATTATCTAAAGGCATAAAAGTCTATATTGCCTCGTAGATAATAGTGTTTGCAAGTACAACTGCTGTCTGATCTATGGATCACGGCCATTCTTTGTTCATTTAGAGCTATAGAAGAAAAATAAGTGGTAGATCATTCGTTTTTGATAAGCAAATAAGCAAAAGTTTTTAAAATCGATGATATAAACCTTTTTAAAAATGTGTTTATTCAAAATAAATAATTGTTAATACAGTGTCGTTTAGAGGCTCCATATAAATTATGTAAACGCAATAATTGCTTAAATTTCTAAATACCTACAAAAATTTCTAGACACGAAATGGTAATTGTATGAAATGTCAAGAAGATATGACTGCAACATTTATAAAGAATAGGTTTGGGCAAAACAGTTTTCGCTAAGTCGGGTAACAATATACGAGGGACAAATAGCGGAACAGACGTCACGGTTTGACGAGATAGGCTTAGAAATGTATTTTTTAGCCTTCAGACCCAACTCCTACCAGCAAAAGATATTGGGATTACTTTAGGAATACTGGAATATATATTTTTGGAGGCGACTTTTAAAGACATAAGGATTAACTTTTTCAAGAAACTTATACATATACATATAATTATTAATTTAGTTTTCCCGTTAGTTTAATTGGTTGTAAACTGACATTTGCGTGTCTTTCTTTGGAACGGGCCCACCTAAATTTGTGTTGTTCGTTCCTCAAAAGACCTCTACGGAATGAATTTGCACAGTTCTCGCATATTATAACATTTTTTACATTGTCTGGACTTAAAAAGAGACGGCCTCTGCGTTTTTTTTTCGGCATTTCTCCTCAGAGTAGTCAGATAGAAAATGCCGGCTTCATCCAGTTTATTTTACCTTAGTTTATTTCCCCAGCTCTAAGCCAAGGCCGCGGTGCCTTATTGCGGATGCCCCTCAACCCCGGCTGAACATCAGCCCTAGTAGGGCCCCGTCTGTGGCCCTTGTGGTCAGAGATGATACAAACTACGGTGGAGCTTGCTTATAGTTTCTGATACATTTCCCGTTTTATTAGTACTCAAATCGACAAAGAACCAAACATCAGTTGCCCTTATACTCTCTCAATCAACAAAGTAAATCTTAAGTAAATTAAGCTATTTTCGTTATAAATTCTTCTTATTTTACTGTAAGGATTTATTATTATATATTTGATTATAATTCTAAGAAAAGCCTTTGAGCACTTTATCTATTTCCATAAAGTAATAAAAGATACATTTCGGGATTTTTCCTAGGTACGTAAAAAATATTCTAGACTTTCTAAGAATAATTTTATAAAAATATCGCAATCATCTCTTTAGGTAAGTAGATCAAGAGTTTTTCGTTACTTGACTGGACGATTTGCAAAACTTAGACCTCCATATATAATGAAGACCTAAGTTGAGTCGTAGATCCTTATTTTCAGGAAAACTTGAGTGGGCGGTTTGTGTGAAACCCGAAGAATAACAACTTAGCCTTAAATCTTGACCTTTAAGCTTGAAGCCTCTTATTTTGTATCAGAGCTCGTCCAAATACTTAGGGACTACAGATTGCTGGAACTAAGAGTAAGAATTTTGATATTTCATGCTCGATATTGTGTCATAAATAAAATGGGAAGGTACTTACATGAAATCTTTGAATGTTACGTTTTGGTACTTTCACAATAAAAGCCTCTTACATCCTATGTACTTAGCACGTATATATTTATAGGTATATCGTAAAACCCAAATAAAAGTTTGTCACAAAAATACGTCGCGTATTTGTTTCGTATATTTTTTTCCTTTTACTGCGAGCTCGGATGTGTTTTGACGTAAAAGTGTTCGCGTGTGTAATAGTTGGTCATATGTTTTATTTTTATGCTGGTCAACTTTTATTGTCCATATTTTGAGGGTTAAAATGAGTGTCTGGAGTCTGTGGAGGGAGCTGAGAACATGTGTCGGAAAATTTGTTTTGTTCGTTGTTTTTAGAGACATTTTTGACGATACGCCGATCGGTGGCTGAAAGTAGCCCCGGTTAATTAAAATAAATTCAATTCTTTAAATAACTGTTTGAAGTGATTATGTTCTACGAACAGACGAAATCAACCAATATTATAATAAACTTAAGCTCCAGAACAAAACACCTAAGTAAGATGGGTACCTAATTATATATTATTATGAAGCGTTCGTGACACTAGACCCCCAGGCTCAAAGATTATATGATGAGCGCAATAATGTGTCGCGGCCCGAAAAGGAGCGGAGTGATTTTTAGTCAGAGTCAGGCGATCCCTCAAACGTCATCAAAAACAGCTTTTATTTAAGTAGGTACTATTCCACATTTCTATTCAAAAAAAGTACAATCTAATTTTTTAATATCAGGATTCCAATTTTCATAACATACCCTATGAAATATAGTAAACATTTCGAAACACTGAAAATTAGTGTTCTATTGTTTTTATAGGAAATAAAAAATTCCTAAAAACTATTTTGCTTAGATATTTTTTTAACGGACACTTTATTTTCTAGTAAGACTCAAAGTGCTAATTGTGTTAGCGAAATCAAGTCGCTACCATATCAATCTAGAACGTCGCTCTTTTTAGTTTATCTTTGTATTGTGACACACAGACAGATACAATTGATCAATGCCAAACTAACTACTATTCTAGATAGAGTATAATTATATTATTTGTTACTATCCTTTTTAAGTTTTAGGTTTTTTGAAAACCTATTTTAAAACTGGGGAGAAACAATGTTCATACTGTGATGCGCCGTAAGACTTACCCATCCTGTACGCGATCCCGTAGTGCCCCCTCCTCAGGCACTAACCTCAAAAGGCCGACAATGTACTTGTAACTCCTCAGGTTTTACGAGTGCCCATGGGCGGCGCTGATTGCTTACCATCAGGTGGTCCGTCTGCTTATTTACTCACACACATCATTAGGTGCTAAAAACATTTAATTTTTTCGATCTTAAATTAGTCTTGTAAGTATTACTCTGATATAAAAAAAAAACATTTATACCTATATCCTTAAAATTCTTAAGTACTTAATATTAAGGTAATTTGTTTAAGAATGAAAATATATTACAGAAGAAAAAACTAAAAACATTAAGTAAAAAGATCACGTAAAATAATTAAAGTTGATGAACGCTTGCAAAATGAGTCTAATTAATTTTAGCTAAAAATAGACGCCTTGAATGACCAACATTATATCCTAGTCAAAACAATTAAGATACTTTAATTAAAATTGTATTACGACTGCTACTTCTCATGATGATAAAAATTGTGTACTTAATTGC